ACACATCTCTCTGAAGTCTCCCGGCCGCCTCATGCAGCCTTCAAGTGAGCCCCAACCCCCGATCACCACCTGCTCTCTTGAAGGTGAGTACTCGGCTGGAAAGCTCCTCAAGCTTTGCAAAAGGAAGCACTGCTGAAGCACCAACTGTCTCCAAGACTTCTTCCCCATGGCCTCTTGACGGCGCATCTCCCGGGTTGGAGAAAGAGGGTACGCGGCATACCCACCACATAGATGGCCATTCACGATCCAACTCCGAAAACAAACGGGCCATGGAGTGCATAGCCCAGCTTCGGCTGGCTCCTTTGATGATGACACTGCGTGTGGCATCATTGTCGATCCACCAGACTGTTCGTCGGGAAGAAAGGAAAGCGTTAAGCTGCATCATGGTGGCAAGAACAGCAAACATTTCTATTTCACATATTAGCTGCTCCCCTATCTCAGCTTTCCAAGCGGCCAGCAATGAGTCTGGCACATGGCCCTGATAGACCCATCCAGAGCCGGAGAAGCAATCGTGGGCAGCGAGACCTATGCCCGCCACCCCTCCTTCCCAAGCGCCGTCAGTGAACAAGTGAATTATGTCCGTGATCATGGTGCAAGACAATATTCGGGGGTTCTCGTGCTTCAAGAGACCGACTGTATGCTTACAGAAATCACTCAAGTCCCAAGGGCTAAAATGCAGACCGCCCACGATCCTCGCAAGGATGTGTGAAGCGTGCTTCAAGGATCGTCCAGCGTAGAAGCCCGATGCATACTGAAGCAAGCCCTGGAGCACTTGGGCATCATGTCTCTTGATCTCCCCTTTCAAGCTGATCTCTTGAAGACGGTCAATGATACGCTCAATCCGACCCTGTTTGTTTGACAAGGAGACCTCGCCCTGCGAAACATGCTTCAAGTTTAGGCTCATGCCCAAAACCTCAAACTGCTCAGCAAACGGCCTGCCCTTTGCACCTGTCTTTGCATGCGCCCACCCCAACAAGTCCAGCAAGGCGCTGGCTGATTCATCGGCATTGTTTGCACTGCCCGCCGGGCACAGCAGCGGGAAGTCGTCGTAGAAGACGCCACTAGGCAAACACAAAAGACGATTGATCAAGTACCAAAGCGCCCTGGAAACCCTATTAAAGGCGTAAACTGCGGCCGTGCTGCCAAACATTAAGGAGTTCGACAAGTAGAGCGCATCGCGCCCGTCGGATTCACGCACTGCAATTACGGCCAGCGACCTATGGTCGGGGTGTACCGCTAGCTGCTTGTAAGCCTTGCTCAAATCCAAGCACTTCCCCTGCCAAAGCTTGGCAGCTGGGTGGACTCGCCCACCTTGGATCTCTTTGGCCACGTGGAGGGCCATCGAAGCTATGTAATCCGAGTCTTGAAGCCTAAGGTGAATGCTTGCACTATAACCCGCGTTAAGTTGCGACTCCAAGCAGTTGTCGATGGGGCGAGGCTTTTGGTCTGCACCTTGAAGTAGAACGAAGCGGCGAATGACAGTCCACCTCTCAGTTTTTAACCGACTAGAAACCTCGGATTCCTCGTAGTAAGGACCCTCTAAGAAACCCAAGGAAACTTCGTTGTCGGTTGCATCCTTCAAGATCTTTGCCTCTTCAGGGTCAACTCTTTCGAACTTGCTTAGCAATGCATCCCTGCGGGCAGCTGCAGTGTCGAACAGCTCATCCTCCGAGAGCCACGCAGGAACAAACTTGTAATCGTAACAAGCAGGGCAATCCGATGTTCTCACCAAGCGCACTCCCTCCTTCAAGAAAGAAATCACACCCATATCATCATAACCCTCAGACCTCAACAAAGCTTCAAAGGCCAGGATCGACTTGCCCTTCATCACCTTAGCAACTGACGGGTCCATTGAATTGTGAAGCTTCTCTTCTGCATCACGCAATCTGTGGACCTCCTGCTTCACCTTTGCAATCGCCAAGTTGCGCCTTAAGGAAATGAGTTTGGGGTCCTTCAAAAGATTTTCCTGCAACGCTTGCAAGGTAACTTTTTCTAAAGGGTTTGAAGAATCTACTGGGTGATTCACCTTTTTGGTCTCCTCAACAAACTCACCGGGCGTCCTATAGACCCCCACCTTCATCTCAACGTTACCCCTACCTGGGGCCTCCGGGGTGGTCCCTCCCGGAGGGGTGTTACTAACCAAAGGTTGGGCCCTAGCCAAATCAGAAGCTCGCACGTTGCCACCCCCGATGGGATTGCGCAAGAGCTTCAAGTGTGGCTGCTGAGTGAAAGAAGCTGCTGGCACATTCAAGACTTGTTTGTATTCTGAAACCAAAGGTGCATGGCGCTTGGTTTGTTTGCCGAGCATAGCAAGCGACAAATCCTTGACACGTGGCTGGGGCACCAAGTTGTAGCCTGCTGCTAAGGCATGATCGGCCAAACAGGCGGCATAGCGACCCGAGAAAAGTTGCGGGTAGGCCGCGTCATCTTTGGTTGCATATCGCACCGTGCCGCACTCAACAATCTGACCCCAAGGCTTATGGGGATGGTCATTCTGGCACAAAGCATGCAATCGCTCAAAGCAAGCAGGTGTGCACAACAGTTGAGTGCGTTTGGGGCGCGCACCGCCATGACAACACAAGTCGAAAATCACAGGCGTGAGCTTTGGAAGGACATGAAGCTTGGGCTCGCTGGGCTCAAAAGCATGCAAGACATCCCAGAGGTAGCTGTTGACAGGATTGTCAAGACTCACGACGACGTCGTCCTCAATGCACTTCCGCAAAATGCGGTATGTCAATGCATATAACTTGTTTGCTGCCTCAAGACGCAATGCATCAACCGAACCTGGGACGATTGAAGGCAGTCCTAAGGGAAAATTCTTACTCCTAAGGGGCTGTGGGCCTGGAGCTCCATTGCGCAACGGGCGACCCCGAGCCTTACTGCTTGTACCACAAGGGGCACCCAAGTGGACTGCAAAGGGCTTATGTTTCTGAAAGAAGTCCCAGAAAAGGGCTTGGCCTGAAGCTGATGACAAGTCCAGCTGCAAAAGCGGCACAGTCGAGTCACAATGATGGTGGTCAAAGCTGTGAACCTGAAATCCTGTGTGGCGCAGAGCCCTTGACAAAGAACCCTTGCCAGCGAACACTTCAAACACAACGGGTGGTTTGGCTCCAAGCTGTGATGTCTGCAAAAGCTGCGACACGCTGGGCGGCAACTGAAAACCTAATTCATTTGCCAAAGAAATCTGATCAGGATTCAAAGATTCCAACTGCTGAACGACCCATGTCACTAGAATTACCCTCCGTCCTGTCCAAGGCTCTGTTTCATGATAATTGGACCTAGCATCGAAAAGCAGAGGGTTCACGCCAATCTCGTGAACCTGTCCTGTCAACTCTCGTCCGTTCAGCTCACGCACATCATCACCTGACCCCTCAATCCACAAACCTCCTTGCTTGAAATCGCTCAATCGGAAAATTGCATTCGGCCACTGTGCGTTTCGATCGTCTCGATGCAAAGGCGCACAGCTGTCAATGAAAATACCACATGTGGAGAAAACATGACCTGGAAGACGCTCTCTAATGTAACGGGTCATGATACGGCATGCAAAAGGGAAAGTGGAGCACTCATGGCGCAAGCCACGAAAGCCCTCCTGAGCATAGCATCCTGCAATGAAAGAATCCTGCACTTCCCTTTGCTCTCGTCGAATGCCCTTGTGAGGCAACAAGTCGCACAAAGTCAAAAGGTCATCATTGGCAATTGGCTCTGGCTTCTTCAAACGAGCCTGAGCCCAACTCTCAGGATTGCAAGCGGACAAATCGCCTGTTTGTTGTGTGCCCTCATCCTTCCCTCCAAAGGTGGGCAAAGTCTCTGGAAGGGACCCTCAAGCCCCACCCTTGGGGCAATTGTTGAAAGAGTGATTTCCAAAGCAGCCCTTCCTCCAGCACTTGTGAAAGCCCTTGATGCACCTACCCTTCTTGCAAGAGTTCTTACACCCATGAGTGTTGAACGCAAAACACAAAGGCTGGTTCGAATCATCCTTTGTCACGCAGCCTTCAGGAAGTTGAAGAGTTTGCTTTCCCGGATTCTTTCCACCCTTACCATCCTTGCCTTTCCCGTTCTTGCCCCCTTTGGGATCGCCCTTCCACGGAGCAGGCGGGGCCATGGGTGTTTGCAAGGGTGCCAAGTACTGCATGATTTCTGGGCCTCGAGACAAACGCGCAATCTCCGCATCAAGAGCTGGAGCAGATCCAGCCGAAGCGACCAAACGTCCCATAAGGTTGTTACTGGCTAAAATAAACATCTGCTTATCTGCCTCAATCACCTGTGAGAGCTGTATGCTCATGAACCCCTTGGGCTGCACACGCTGAAGCACCGAGAAGAGAAATTGCACGTGCTCCTCCATTACTCGGAAACTCGCCAAGTTCGCGAGATCAAAGGCCAGAGACCTACGACCCCAAGCCTGCCGGAGCCTCATCTCTGATGAGACGTCACAAGACAACTCAGTGTTCTTGGTGGCAATCTTCAGGTTGTTTTCAGAATCAATGTTTATGCTGTTGTC